TGATGATGATGATGCTGATGATGATGATGATGATGATGATGATGATGATGAGGATGAGGATGAGGATGAGGATTATGATGACGAGGTGTATGAGGATTATCATGATGCTACTTATCTGGAAAACAGGAGTGGAGGAGGATAAAGGAGGAGGCGGTTGGACTAGGAGGATTTGGGAGGAGGGGAGGAGGAGGAGGCGGAGGAGGAGGAGGAGGAGGAGGAGGAGAGAGGAGTAGGAGGAGAGGAGGAGGAGGAGAGGAGGAGCCAAAAGATAGCTAGAGGAGGAGCTAGGAGGGTAGGAGGAGGATGAGGGAGATGAGGAGGAGGAGGAGGAGAGGAGGAGGAGGAGGCGAAGGAGGAGGAGGAGGAGGCGGAGGAGGAGGAGGAGGCGGAGGAGGAGGAGGAGGAGGAGAAGGAGGAGGAAGAGGAAGAGGAGGATAATGAACAGGAAAGGGAGGAGGAGCAGAAGGAGCAGTGGCTCCCCCCTGCCCGCTTCTCCCGCGCTCCACCCCCGCGGCAACCAGGAGGCCGCGGAGCGGCACCTTCTGGACAGGGACGACGAGGAGAGCCCCCCTGGCGCCGAGAAAGCGTATCTCCTCAGCAGAAGCGCTGGCTCCCAGGCAGAAGGGTTGGTCCCCCGGCAAAACTTCCTCGGCAACATTCCTGAACGACTCCCCTGAGATCTGGGCGTCGCAATTTGTTCACACCAGGCGTTGTCGCCCAGTTTCGGCCCAGGACCGTCGCAGAGCGATCTGGCTCGAACAGCCGTGGTTTTTTCGCGATGTTGAAGTGTCTTCGCAACGTCGGATCCTGGGGTTCCGCGGGCCTCCTCAGAGCCTCGAGCGCAACGCGTGAACAAGAGGTTCAGCATGGGCGCTGGTATATCAGCGGTCGAAATCGGGCCTAATCCAGCCTAGTCGCCTAGTCGCTTAGTCCAACTAGCTCCCGCTTAGTTCTGCTTAGCCAGGGTATTCATGTGGGCTGATGGCCTGTGAGTCAGGGGCTAGTGAACTCCTTGCAGGTGCGACTGAGCCCACGAAGACCTCCCAGAGTTGCCTCCTGATGTGGCGACCACGCCCAGAGCACACCTGGGGGGCTCCCCGGGCCTTCGGGCTCGGCCCTCGGGCTTCCCGGGCCTGCTCCGCCCCCCGTCCTCCGCTGCAGGCCAGGGGCCTCAGGGGTGCGCCGAGAGGGGCGCGCCCACGCACGTGGGCGCAGCCACTCGTGCATTCGGCGGAGCTCTCCGTGGGGGCACGCAACGTGTGAGGGGTGCGACGAAAATGGGCGCGGGCACGCTTGCGAGTGCTGCCAGTGGGGCCTTCGGCGGAGCTCCCAATGAGGCCGCGAAACACGTGAGGGTTGCGCCGGAATGGGCGCGGGCACGCATGTGGGCGCTGCCTTGTGTGCCTTCGGTGCAGCACTCTATGGGGCCACGAAGCGTTTGAGGGGTATCGTGAGATCGGCGCGGGCACCCATGGGGGCGCTGCCGCTGGAGCCTTCGGAGGAGGAGAAGGAGGAGGAGGAGGAGGAGTAGACAGGGGGAGGAGGAGGACGAGCAGGAGGAGGAGGAGGAAGAGGAGGAGGAGGAGGAGGAGGAGGAGGAGGAGGAGGAGGTGGAGGAGGAGGAGAGGGAGAAGGAGGAGGATGACGAGCGTCCGCGGCGCGGGAAGCGTGTGAGGGGTGTGGCGAAAACGGCGCAGACACGCACACGGGCGCCGCCTCGGTGGTTTTAATGGGAACACCCCATCAGGGCACAGAACGTTTGAGGGGTGCCCAAAGTGCGGGGGGTGGACCGTGGGATCACGAAACGTGTGAGGGGTGTGAAAGTGTGGTGGTGGTGGTGGTGGTACTGCAAACGGGCGCTACCACTGGAGTGTTCGGTGGAGCTCTCTCTGTGTTTAGGAAGCGTGTTAGAGGTGTGGCGAAGTAGGATCGTTTATCGCATGCGGGGGCTGCCACTAGGGCCTTCGGTGGAGCTCCCTATGAGGCCATGGAAAAGTTCAGGGGTGCGCCGAAAATGGGCACGGGCACGCATGCGGGTGCTGCCACTTGGGCCTTCGCTGGAGCTCCCTATGGGACCACGAAGCGTGTGAGGGGGGGTGCGGCGACATCGGCACGGGCGCACACATGGAAGCGCCTGCCCTTCGGGGCAGGTGGGGTCACGCGACGTGTGAGGGGTTTGCCGATTTCGGCGCGGACATGCATGCGGGCGCTGCCACTTGGACCTTCGGTGGGGCTCCCTGTGGGGCCGCGAAACATCTGAGGGGTGCGCCGAAATTGACGCGAGCACGCATGCGGGCTTTACTACTGGGGCCACCAGTGGAGGGGATACGAAATTTGCGAGCGGTGTGGTTAAACTGTTACTAGGACGATGATGGTTATCACGACGATTGAGATGGAGAGATGGATACTGAGGCGGGGACGGGGATGGTGCTGATGATGCTGATGATGCTGATGATGATGGTGATGATGATGTTGATCATGAGGACGATGGTGGTGATGTTGAGGACAACACCGATAATGACGACGACAACGACGACGATGTCGATGATGATGCTGATGATGATGAGGATGATGATGCTGATGATGAGGATGTGGAAGCTTGCGATGATGATGGTGGTGATGATGGTGATGGTGATGGCGATGGTGCTTATGATGATGCTGCTGCTGCTGATGATGCTGATTATGGTGATGATGATGCTGATGGTGGTGATGATGCCGATGCCGATGCTGATGCTGATGCTGGTGCTGATGCTGATGCTGATGATGCTGATGATGAACATGCTGCTGACGATGATGCTGATGCTGATAATGATGCTGACGATGGTGATGATGCTGCCGCTGCTGATGGTGATGATAACGATGCTGATGATGCTGATGATGATGATGCTGGTGATGATGATGATGACGATGACGATGACGATGATGTTGATGATGCTGATGATGAAGGCGATGATGCTGATGCTGCTGCTGATTCTGCTGATGATGCCGCTGCTGATGATGCTGACGATGATGGTGCTGCTGATGCTGATGATGCGGATGATGACCATGCTGCTGATGATGATGCTGATGCCAATAATGATGCTGATGATGGTGATGATAACGATGCTGATGATGACGATGATGCTGCTGCTGATGATGTTGATGATGATGACGATGATGCTGATGCTGATGCTGTTGCGGCTGATGACGATGCTGCTGATGATGCTGATGATGAGTTTGATGATGATGAGGACGATGCTGATAATAATAATGAGGATGCTGATGATGATGCTGATGATGATGATGATGATGATGTTGATGATGATGATGATGACGATGATGATGATGACGATGACGATGACGATGACCGAATGTGCTTGGGGGGTTGATGATGAGGATGATGATGATGTTGATGATGAGGATGGGATGATGATTATGATGATGGCTGATGCTGATGCTGATGCTGATGCTGATGCTGATGATGCTGCTGATGATGACGATGATGATGATGTATGTGATGCCGATGTGATGCTGATTGATGTGATGCTGATGATGCTGCTGCTGATGCTGCTAGCTGCTGATGATGATGATGATGACGAATGGATGATGAGGTTGATGCTGCCGCTGCTGCTTGCTGTGCTGATGTTGATGATGATGATGATGATGTTGTTGATGATGAGATGATGATGATGGTGAGAGGCGGGGAAGAGGAGAGGAGGGAGGAGAGGGAGGAGGAGGAGGAGGAGGAGGATGAGGAGGAGGAGGAGGAGGAGGAGGAAGAGGATGAGGAGCAGGAGGAGGAGGAGGAGGAGGAGGAGGAGGAGGAGGAGGATTAGAGTTACGATGTGGCTGATGCGCATGACGATGAGGATGGGGATCGTGGAAAGTTTGATGGTAGGGTGGTGGGGGCGAGGAGGAGGAGGAGGAGGAGGAGAAGGTGTAGAAGGAGGGGCATTGCTGTTTCAAAACGAGGACCCAACACCACAGGGTGAGGTGGGGCATTTCGACACACCGGATCTCTGGGAAGGCTGCTGTTCGATGGCTGGTCCTTCCCCCCCCCCCTTGGGGTGCAGCAGGGCAGATGAGGCCCGGTCGTCGCGGGGCCCAGCGCTCGTTCCCCTTCGGGCTCGGCCTCCCCCCCCATCCCCTCGAGGCGGCAACGCACGAGGCCTCCGAGCGCCTGCTCTGGACCGATCTGGGCCCTCCTCTGTCCCTCTGCCAGTCTTAACCCAGGGCCCTCCCTCCCTCCCTATTGCCTATCCGCGCTCTGCCCTCCCTGGGGCCCTCCTCCCTCCCGAGCCGTCACCGTGTTGCGGTGCCGATCTGAAGGATTCACGCAGTTTCTGAGGGTGCATCCCTGTGATTGCGTGCGTTGGGCTTGTCAGTCTCAGGGATCGGGATCAGCTCGAGACTGGCTACGGCCATGTGGTATACTCTCTGTCGTGCAAGCCATGTGCTGCAGCCTGTGCGTGCATCCTGAAGCGCGGGCCAGCGCGCGGGGCGCCCACGAGGCGCCCACCAGCCGAAAGCCTGGCAGACCAAGCCAGCGCACGAGGCGCATACGAGGCGCCCAGGGGCGCCCGCCAGCCGAAGACCGGGCAGAGTCACCCAGTGCTCGGGGCGCCCATGAGGCGTCCACGAGCGCATGCCGGGCGAAACCTGGGCAGACACCCCAGCTGTTAGAAAACGAAGAAGGGGCCCCTGAGTGCAAGCACGCTTAGGGGAGGGGCAGATTTCCGAAGGGGGCGCCAAGACGGTGCAAGAGAGCTGCCAGATGACCCCACGACCCGCCAAGACGGTCCCGCAGCTTCTTACGCTCAAGGATTTCAAGGTCTCTCGTTTTGCCGGTAATTGGTGGCAGTTGGTAATTTTTTAGAGCCGGCAGATACACCTGTGGGTCGCATGGAGCATGTCCTCCATGACAAGCAGGTTTCTGATGGTCGCGCTGGCCAGACAGCTGCTCTTGGCCTTTGCCGCCCTTACGGCAGCAGTCTCCGCGGCGCCCAGTCAGTGCTCTGGAGCGTCCGGCGACGGCCGATGCGCCGCGGCGCTTGACGACGTCGAGCCGCTGATGCAGGTGACCGCGGAGATGGCACGCCTCGTCCGAGAAGCCGCCGAGGTCGCGGACGGCGTCCGCCGTCCTCCGCTCCACTCGCGCGGGCAAGCCGCTCCACTCGCGACCCCCCCCCAGACCATTCTAAGCGCGGAGACGTCCAACGGAGATAACACGATCAGCACTGCGTCGACGGCGTGCTCTGCGCCTTGCGACCTCGTCCTGGCCACAGGCACGAAGCCTGCGGAGCATCAGGGCCATGCCACGGGCGTGCCGAGCAGCAAGGGCCCCACCGCGGGCGGAGACCGACCAGGCCCAGCCAGTGACCCGTCGAGACGCAGCCGGTGCTGGCCAGCTCCTTGCTGGCTCCACGGTTCGGGAGGAAAAGAAACACACAGACACAATTAATCGTCGATTCCCCAGAAAATATAGGAAAATATGGGAAGTGGTGGGGAAGACAAAAACCCAGAAAATATGGGAAATATATCTGGAATATCTTTATTTGTGTGTATTTATTTGTGTGTCCTGGTGCCCCTTCAACGGTGCCCGCCACGACGCAGACCGAGGGCTTCGACACGGCCGGAGCGGGCAGGCGCGGGCCCGTGGAGGGCTCGCGGCTCCGGAAAAGGCGAGGGCCTGCGGCGGCTCCCGGGCGGAGTGCTGGCTGCTCTGCGCGGCTTGTCACCACCCACCAAACCACCCCAACCCAACCCGAAGGTTCAGATTTACCCTCGATTTCTAGTGGGAGGGGGTCGGGAAACATCGAAACAACACATGTGGAGCCCTTAACCCCCCCCACCCGAAATTCGGGTCTTCGGGTTGGGGTGGGGTGGTCTGGTAGGTAGTCAACTTGGTGCAGGTGGGGCCCGAGCCTCGCCACGCCGGGCGCGAGGGCAGGAGCACCGGGAGGTGCGGTGGGGGGCCGAGAGAGAAGCTGTGTGCCCTGGCAGCGACGCGACCCCCCCGCCGTTTTCGTCCGATCGACCCGGCGAGGAGGGCTTCTCCCGCGCGGTGGAGGGGCAGACTCCGACGCCCGCTCCAGCCGGCTCGTGGTGTACGGAGGGCTGGGAGTCCAGCAAGCTCAGCAAGTGCGAGCGGTGGAGTCATAGCAGGGCGCGCCCAAGGCCCCGTACGGGCGTGCCCCAACATCGTTTGTGCCCCATGATCCTTCTTGTCATGATCTCGAACGTGGCCCCATCGCCAATCCCAGTCGAAGACTCGTGCAACCTGGGGCCGCCCATCTGCGAGGACCCCGATCTGCCTCTCGGCTGTGGTCGGGAGGCTGCCGAGAAAATGTGTAGCCCACCCAACGACAGCGACATTTGCTAAGGCGGGTCCGACTACTCACCAACCGCCCGCTACCACTCTTGCCGAACCGAGCGCTGTGCCAATAGCTGCGCCGGCTGCAGCACCGACAATGGAGCTGACGGGTTCCCCGACAGCTGCGCGGACAGCCGTTCCGACGGCGGCGCCAACGATGCTGCCGACCACTTCCCCGACGGCTGCGAGGATTGCGGCACGGTATTGCCTTTCCGATTGTGGCACCAACGGGAGCCCCACCTTGCGTACCCACGGCGGCCCCGTCGACGATGCCGACTGGACCCCCAGGCAACGGTCCGACGTCGAGCCCAACGCCGAGACCGACCAGCGACCCGACCGGCGGTCCGACGGCGGCTCCGTCGATGACGCCGACCCTCGCCCCGACTGGCGAGCCGACGACGGGCGAGATACCTGGCGGCCCTTGCGTGACGAACGTGGAGGGACACCGGTTCAACCCCGCCCGTGTTGCAACCCACGAGCTCCCGCAGCTGCCCCAGTCTTCGGACGCCCGCCCCGGCCCCAGCGCTGGAAGCCAAGCGCTCCTCGAGGTCTTCGGGGCGTTCGAGAGCGAGCGACGCTGCGAAGGGCCCTTCGTCAGGCAGCCGGACCTGAGCGGGCTCTGGCTGCAGCAGTCGGGGCCCCTGGTCCTCCGCGCGACGGGCCTGGACGAAGGCAGCAGGGGCGCGACCGCGCTGCAGGTCGACGGGTCGCACGTCGGCGTGAGCGAGCTCGCCCGCGACGTGAGGCTCCGAGGCCTGCTGCAGGCGACGAAGTGCAGGGCCGTGCACGTCGAGCGGCGCGCCGGGAGGGCCCGCAGGGGCAGGTTCTTCGTCCCACTGTTGCGCGGCCCTCGCGGTGGACTGGGTCCACGGGGAGGCGCCCGGCTCAAGCCTGAACCATCCGAACCTCCGCGTGGCTGGCTTTGTCCAGTCCCGAGGAGGGCGTGGACGTGGGAGGCATCTCGGGCCCCGTGGCGTCCGCGCCTCGGCCGCGGGCTCCTCTCCAGGCTGCGCGCCAGCCCAGAGCTTGGTGCAACTCGGCGCTGGTCCGCGTCCAGGTCTCTGCTCGAGGCTTCCTACGAGAAGTGACCTCGACGCCGGGAGCCCTTTTCGGGCGAACAGAGGGCTGGAATCAACGCTTTCGTCAGCACGAGGGGCAGGAGGCGTGGAGGCACGCCTGGGCGGCCGCATTGTAGAGCGGCGCGAGTGCAGGCTCGGAGCATATCCATCTGAATTCGACCGTCGAGCCTTTGGGACTGCCCTGCGCCCCCAGATGCTCCCCGACATGCGCCCGCGCGGGGCACTGCAGTGATATTTCCATGTCCAGCCGGGCTGCCTTTCTCTTGAAACCCGATGGGTGCGGCCCCGCCTGCGGCACTGTTCACCACTGCTCGTTTCCAAGGATGCGAGCCATGTCCAGGGCAGGGATCTATCCATCACTACCGCCCGGGGGATCGATCCTCGGGGACCTCGGCAGGCGGTGGATGAGAATTCGGGCCGTGCGGGGGTCAAAAATGTATCCGTATCCACCGATTGCCGAGGTCCTGGACGATCGATCCTTCAGGCGGTGGTTCTGGATGAAGCCCCGCCTCGCGTAGTTGGTGGATCATTTACACACTCAGTCGGTGTCCATTGGATGACGCGCCCCGTTCCAGCTTTGCTTAACATGATTTCGCGCTTTGCGTTGGACCGTCATTGTTGTCGCCGTGAAAAGTGGTGCCTAAACGGGCGATAGGCCAATGACAGATTACATCCCAAGAGCCCCCTCAATGTGCCAGCGAGAAGCTTGCTCTTGCCTCTCGTTCCTCCCTGTCTCTCCCTCCATCCTCATCTCGCTTTCCTCTCGCTCTTCTCTCCCTTTTGGCCGTCGCACAGCGTGGGAGTTAGGAGAGAATGGCAGGCAGGGATGGAGAATTGGTCGGAGGGAGGGAGAAGAGAGGCATGGAGGGAAGAGGGAAAGAGGGGGGAGGACAACACACATGGAGGAGAAGGCGAAGGAGGATATTTAGCGTACAAGCGAATCAGACGGATCACACGAGAGGCAATGGACAAAAGGGAGATCAAGACGGCAATTGTGATAGGCGTACGTGGTGTGCGCGGACGACTAATGATGCCTGTGGCTGTCGTGGCTATCGTGCTGATCGTGAGCCACCTGGCGTGTTTGTCCTGATTTGTCTGGGGTGTCTTAGGTGCACGGTGTGCGCAGTGTGCGCGTGGCAGAACCCGCCGCATGAGGGCCGTGTGTGTACTCCCACACGCTTGGCGCCCAGAGCCACTGGCTGGCGGCCCCTCCGCAGGCGGCGTCCTCGAGATCGGGCGGGGACGGCGGCGCGGCAGGCGGCGTGGGGCTGGGCCCGCCCTTGCCGTCGTCGTTGTCGTCGTTGTCGTCGTCGTCGTCGTCGTCGTCGTCGTTGCCGCCGCCGCCGTCGTCGTCGCCGCCGCCGCCGTCGCCGCCGCCGCCGTCGTCGTCGCCGCCGTCGCCGTCCCTTCGTCGTCGTCGTCGTCGTCGTCGTCGTCGTCGCCGCCGCCGCCGCCGCCGCCGCCGCCGCCGCCGTCGCCGTCGCCGCAGCCGCCGCCGCCGCCGCCACAACCGCCGCCGCGGTCGTCTTCGTCGTCACCGCCGCCGTCGCCGCCGTCGCTTCCGTCGCCGCCGCCGTTGCCACAACCGCCGTTGCCGCCGTCGTGGTCGTCGTCGCCGCCGCCGTCACCGTCGTCGCCGTCGCCGCCGCCGCCGCCGTCGTCGCCGTCGCCGTCGTGGTCGCCGTCGTCGCCGTCGCCGCCGCCGCTGCCGTCGTCGCCGTCGTCATCGGTGCCGCCGTCCCCGCGACTGTCATCACCGGCGTCGTCGTTGTCGTCGTGGTCGTCCTCGTCGCCGTCGTGGTCGTCGTCGTCGTCGTCGCCGTCGCTGCAGCCGTCGCCGTTTCTGTCGCCGTCGCCGTCGGCTTCGCCCTCGCCCTCGCCCTCGCCGCCCGCCGCTCGCCGCTGGCCGCTGGCCGCTCGCCGCTCGCCGCTCGCCGCTCGCCGTCGCCGTGGGTGTCGGTGGCGGTCTTGACGACGCCGTCGCCCCGCCCTCGCCCTTGCCTTCGTCGTGGCCGTGGCCGTGGTTGTCGTGGTTGTCGTGGTTGTTGTCGTCGCCGTCGTCGTGTGGTGGAAAATGGTGGGGTTCCGTGGGCCTCTCTGGGCCTGTTGAGGCCCGCCAGGGGCCCACAGGAGAGCCGCGGAGACCACCTCGAGAAGAGGCTCCCGAAGAGGCCTTCACGGGCCGCGCGCGCGCCCTGCACGGGGCCGGAGCCGATGGATCCAGGGGCTCGGAACGCTCATACAGCCGGGGTGTGCACTGAGGAGCCGTATGCTCTTCGCCAGGTACCCTGGGTTTGGTGTGTCCTCGCGCTGCGCCGTGGCTTCCTGCGGTAGTTGAAGCAGCTGCCGCGTTCAGGGTGGCCTTGGGCTTCCCCCCGTCGCGCCTTTCGCGAGGGTCTTGAGGGCTGGGCTTCTTGCGGCCGCGTCAGCACTGGAAGTTCCACCCCTCCCACATGGGGGCCTGGATGGGCTTTTCGATCATCGGAGAGGTCCCGCCAGAATCCTTTCAAATCTGGCCTGCGGATCCTAGCCGACGTCCATCCCAGAGTTTTGCGCTCCACTTTCAGCACTAGTGGCGACAACCTCCAGGACCCCCAGAGGGCCTCCAGAGCTCAAAAGCGGCATCGACGAAGCAACGTCTTCGTTGTGGAATGCGAGGAGGAAGGAGAGAGGTACAGGAAGAGTGGTGGGGGGGGGAGGTGGTTGTGGCGGAATGAGGGAGGAGGAATAACGGCAATCATGGAAACTATGAATAATGTTAAGGTTGTAATGATTAATAATAGGAATATTAGTAATACTAATAATAAACATAATCATTCTAATACTGCTGATAATAATAATGATACAAGTGACACTAATTGTAAACACAATGATAAGACGACAGGAGAAGAAGGAGGAGGAGGAGCAGGAGGAGGAGGAGGAAAACAAGGACGAGGTTGAGGAGGGGGAGAGTATGATGGAGGAGCGGGAGGGGGGAGGAGGAAGGGGGGGTGTCAGGAGGAAGGGGGGCGCGGTAACCGTGCTCGTCCCTCCTCTTGGCAATGGTGCTGACGCTGGCGAGCTTGTAGCTGTGGCAGTTGCCTCCCATGCCCCCCCTTCTTTTCATCCTCCTCCCCATCCCCCTCCTCCCCCTCCTCCCCCTCCTCCCCATCCCCCTCCTCGTCATCCTTCCCTCGACTTGCTCGAGCCATACCTCGAGGCGCGCGGCGAGGTCCAGCCGTCGGCCCCGCCCGAGGAGCCTCTGTTCTCGGCAGCGAGCCAGGAGCCAGCCGAGGTGCGGGGGGAGTTTCGGGACACCGGCTGACATTTCAACGGTCACCCTCTTCTGTTCGCAAGGGTGGTGGCGCGGAGCGCACGAGATGACAGTCGTGCGGTGTGCTTCCGCTGCGCTGGCGTGCCTCTTTTCATCAGGCACGAGCCGGGGGCTTGGTTGCTGGCGTGGGGGTCCCCTGTCCCCGCCAAGATTCCCGAGTCACCACGCTGGGAGCTCTTGGCCTGGTCGAGGCCGATCCAGGCTCTGAGATGCTTGCCTCAAACGGGATGCTGATTCTTTCATTTGGGTCCTCTCTTCGGGCCTCCATTCTCCTCTTCCTGGTCCTTTGCAAATTGTCCCCAGAGGCGAAGTGCACGTTTTTTGTTGTCGCTTTCTTTTCTCTTTCCTCCATTAGTCATCTCGAAACCACGGTCGGCCAGCTCACCAAATCATTGATCGTTGGGCGCTCCTGAGGGCTGAGGGGCTGGCAAGCCAGCTGTGCCTTGAGGTCAGCCAGAGGTACGCATAAACACGGTGAGTTCGCATCAGAGAGTTGCTCCGTTCGCGTAAGGGCAGAGAAGGAGTCAGTGACTATGAATGTGGTCAGGGTTCCCTCAGGCCACCAGTTGATGTTGGCTGCTGACAGCCAGCAGGCATTGCTTGTTGGCAGCAACTGCTGCCCATCGCGGCCTTGGCACCGCGTGTGCCCTGTCGAGCAAAGAACGACCTGCGGCCGTCCCCCGTCTCCAGGCTGCTCTTGCCTGCTCCGCTCACGCCTCTGTCGGGCTCGCTGACAAATGACGTTGCAATGCCTGTCAATGGGGGTGGGTGTCGGTCAGATTTCCGAGGTTGCGTAGACAGCGTGTTCCAGTCGAAGCCCTTCGTGGGTTTTCTGTCGTCGGTGACGCGGTCCAGGATCGAGAGCCTCTGTCGATCAAGTGGCGACTGGTTCACGCTTCGCATCCTTTGGCCGAAGTTCCTAAGTGGCAGCACGTTTTTTGCGTCCTGCAAGCAGCCCTCCGAGCGCTGCTGAGGCGGCCGTGTGAGACGCCATCCAGCAGGTGCCCCCCGGAGCCCCCTGGCGACAGCTCAGGAGCGAACCCCCAGCCGAGCTTGCGACAGCTCGCGCATGCGCAGTAGCCCCGCACACGTCTCATTTACATTCGGGGACGGTCATTTCTCACGAGCGGCGAACGTATCCATGTACACGCCGTCGCTGTCTGGATTCCGGGGCGCGATCCCGCGGATACGCGGTCGCGCGGATGCGTTCCGCGCGGGGCATCCGCGACAAGAACGACTCGTATCCGCGAGGTCGCGTCCCAGGGGCCCGGCCAGCAAGGCCGTGAATACGAATCTGTTTTTAGCCTGCGAATTCTTTTTTCTGATCCCGAGAGCCGAGACAGCCGCCGAGGTGCTCCGCTCGAGTGCCACCGCCTTCAGGAGAGAATGGCCCAGCGGGCCCTATCTCGAGGCCTCTGGTGACGTCGAGCTGGGTTCCGATTGAGTTTTCGGGATTGATTTTCCTGGTGTGTGTGTGTGTGTGTATGTGTGTGTGTGTGTGTGCGTGCGTGCGTGTGCGTGTGTGTGTGTGTGTGTGTGTGTGTGTGTGTGTGTGTGTTTGCGTGTGTGTGTGTGGCCCTGTCGTTGCAGGGCGGTGACGGGCCCTCCCCGAGCAGCCCAGCCCAGTGGTGAGGAGGATGAGGCATCCCCTCGGTGCAGCAGCACAGTCGCTCCCTCCTCCCTCGAGCCTCCCTTCTTCTCCCTCCCTGCCCGGCCGAAGAGCGAAGAGCAGGAAAGTTCCGGTTCGGTTCGGTTCGGTTAGGTTCCGAAGCGCCTCCGGTTCGGTTCGGTTCAGTTCGGTGTCGTAATCTTCCGGTTCGGTTCGGTTCGGTTCGGTACGTTTATTTTTTGTTTCCGGTTCGGACCGGTTCCTGTTCTGGTTCGGTCCGGTTCCGGAGATCGCCGTCGAGGAGCGGTTCCGACCCCAGGCGATCCGATTTCGTTGCGATCCTTTCGATGCCGATGGTTCGGAGGAGGAAGAAGGGGCCCCAAAGGGGCCCCAAACCCACAAAAGGAGCCCCAAAGAGGCCCCAAACCCGCATAGGGGCCCCAAAGGGGCCCCAAAGGGGCCCCAAACCTACAAAGGGGCACCAAAGGGGCCCCAAAGGGGCCCCAAACCCGCATAGGGGCCTCAAAGAGGCCCCAAACCCGCAAAAGTGGTCCCAAAGGGGCCCCAAACCCCCAAAGGGGTCCCAAAGTGGCCCCAAAGGGGCCCCAAACCCGCATAGGGGCCCCAAAGGAGCTCCAAACCCCAAAGGAAAGGGCGGTTTGTCGGGGTGGCTGCAGCAGACCGGAGGTCTGGAGACCTTCCCCGGAACCGGTTTTTCATCCTGGGTCGCGGTTTTTGACGTTCCCGGAGGCCGAAACAGCTCCGGTTGTGATTTTTTCACAGCGCCTGGATCTGGGGGTTGTCGTCATCGTCGTCGTCGCCGCCGGTCTTCTTCCCTCCTCCTCCCTCCGTGGCCAGTTTTCCGGTTCGCTCCGGTTCGGTCTGGTTCGGGCCGGTTCGGCGGGGGGAGGTTCGGTCCGGTTCGGAGTCCCGGTTCGGTTCGGTTCGGTTCGGTGTCGTAATTTTCTGGTTCGGTTCGGTTCGGTTCCCATTGACAAAAACACCGGTTCGCGCCGGTTCGGTTCGGCCCGGTTCGGTTCGGCCGGTTCGGTTCGGTTCCGGAACCATCCTGGAAGAGTGGCCGAGCCCGGCGTCTCCTGCTCGTGGCCTCGTCGCGTCATCCCTCCTCTTCCCCGCCGCCGTCTCCTTCCGCCGCCGTCGCCTCATCGGTGCTAATCGCCGCCCTCGCCGCCGGCCACGGCGCCAGCGACGACGTCGGTAACGCCGCCGACGTCGGTGACGACGTCGACGACGAAGCCACCGACGTCGTCGATCTTTGTTTGCCGCCGCCAGCGACGTTGGCGTTCGTCGACGGATGTCGACGGACCTCGAAGAATGCCGACTCAGGAGCGAAGAGTCGACGCAAGCATGAATTTTCACATTGGTTCTCATGAACTTTTGAGACCATGTTGGACATGGAGGGGAAGACGAGAATGCGCAAAATATGGAAAGAACTGGGGAATCCTGGACTTTGTTTAGATTTTTTTTTTTGTTTTTTTGATTTCTGGGCCCCGTTACCGACGGCGTCGCCGACGAGCGCCGGCGGCATCGCCGCCAGTAAGCGCCAACGGCTCTCGCCAGGCGGCGGCGGCGAGCCGTCCGAGGGCGGCGCGCCGGGGCGGGCGGGCGGGCGCTTCGGCACGCCGCCGCGGGTGGAGCCGAGGCGCGTCGGCGGCAGGGCTCGGGGGCAGGAAGGCGACCACGAGCGGCTGCACGTAGGAGGGGAAAAAACACACAGACACAATTAATCGTCGATTCCCCAGAAAATATTGGAAAATATGGGAAGTGAGGGGGAAGACAAAAACCCAGAAAATATGGGAAAATATGGGGAATCTTTTTATTTGTGTGTATTTATGTGTGTGTCCCAGGGCCCCTTTATGCACGTAGGAGTGACCCTTCGCCAGAGTGAGCTTTGGTGCGGGCCCGCGGGGGTTGGGGCCGGCTGGGGGCCCGAGGTGGTCCAGCATGGGTTCTGGCGAGCAAGAAGGGGAGGCAGGGTCGAGGTGCTGGGTTCGAGGAGGTTGTTTGCCCTTTTGGGTCTCAGGTGGCTGGTTTCGGGCCCTTAGACCGTCAAAAATTGCTCCGGTGCGAAAAGTTGCGCCAGATGGACCCCAGGAGGCGTTCGGGGACCGATTGTGAGCGGATTTGCCCTAATCCCCCCAGCCCATCCAGCTCTGACCCTATGGCCGCCTCCAATCGCTGAGAGCCCCCAATGGCTGCATCCGTTGCGATAGCAGCGGCTTGCGCGCTTGGGTGTGGTTCCCGGTGCCCCCCGAAGCCGCGCACCAGCATGTCGCTCTTGCGCAGGCTCATTCCTGCGTGTAGCCGACGCGAAACTATGCTTGCCACCGTCACCGCGCACAGTTTGGTGGACATTTTTCGGCGCGCGCGTGATGCGTTCAACAACAACAAAAAACTTGCGCGATGTCTAGGGCGTCGCCCTAGTAGGGCGACGGCCCGCGTGTACGCATATGTGCGGGTCCCAGGAGCCGTTGCTGCTGGCCGCCAGGGCAGGTCAGTTTTCCCAGAGTGCCCCCTCTGTAATGAGGCGGGGATTGGGTGGCGCGAGGGTGTCGCGGTTATACATACTGCTGTATATATAGTGTATTCCCCGAGCAGTGCTTGCACTTGTGCCTTCTTGCTTGTTTTCTATGGAACTGGTCTGTGCGTTGGTCTGGCGGCTATGTTGTCGCCGTCGCCGCCCCGTCGCCGCCTCGTCGACGCCCATCGTCTGGGCCTGCGCGTTGGTCTGGAGACTATGTCGTCGTCGTCGCCGCCTCGTCGCGGCCTCGCATAACTCTCCTTTCTAGAACAACAGTAGGATCTCCCCCCCCCTGGTTAACGGTACACCTTTTTCGCATTGTCGTTTACGTATGATTTTGCCCCATCGTCCGTGCTAAGTGTGAAGTTGTACCATCTAGAACAGTGATACTCTCCTTTCTAGAGCAACAGTAGGATCTCTCCCCCTGGTTAACAGTACACCTTTTCGCATTGTCGTTTCCGTATGATTTTTTGCCCCACCGTCCGTGCTAAGTGTGAAGTTGTACCATCCCAGCCAGGCCGGAGTTCGGCCCCCCTTTCTTTTTTTATCCTTTGCAAGCCCACAGTATGCACTCGTGCAGTTTCCAATCATCCCAGGCAAAATTCGGGGGTGGACAGAACCCCCAACAGTGACACGTCGATTAGTGAATTGTCCGTTTTCGGTTCTCGAGAGGGCGCCGTGGCCGTTATTTTCCAGGCTCGCGCCCGCCAGGTTTGGGCCTCAGGTCGTTTTCGCTAAACCACGTTGTGCTAAAGGGGGTTCTGTCCATCCCCGAAAAATATGAGACGAAGTGCACACGCGCGCGTCGTCGCGCGCGCATGCCGAAATCCTTCAAGGACCTTCGGTTCCGTAAGGTGTCAAAATCGAGAGTCACAAACACATCTAAACGCACATTGTTTCGCAACAAGTGTTGAAACAAAACATCCCTCGTCCGCACTCGTGCGAATTGTTGAGAAAACCATAGGTTTTATCCCCCAGCATTTTCGTAACATGCTACCTGTCGAAATTGTTCGAACGTCCTTGCGCGCGTACTGTCGCAATAATCCCTTGCAGCAGATGGGACGACGTGCACACGCGCGCGTCGTCGCGCGCGCATGCCGAAATTCTAAAAAGAACCCAACGTTCCACACGGAGTTCAAGAACGAGGATCCCTGAAAACTTCCAAAAGCGCATGATTCAGCAACATCACTCACTCACTCACTCACTCACTACATCACTACAAAGCGAGTGATTCAGCAACATCAGTTTTCAAAAATACCTGCGCTCACGGTCTTGCGGATTCTTGAGACAACCATGGGTCTTCCAACATTCTCATCAATTTCTGCCAGGCGGGCTTCTCGCGCCGAATGCCGAACTCATTCGAACGCCCTTGCGCGCGTGCTGGGGGGGGTGGGGGGGCACGACGATCCGTGTCCAATAATTCCATACGGGCCACTCGCGTTTCGGCCGCGCGTGCATGTCGAACTCCATCCCAAACCCGTCGTCGCTGAGGCGAGGACATTGTCATCGTTGTCGGCGGGCGCGATCAACATCGGCGCCGTCAGTGGCCTTGCTGTCGTTATCGCCACCATCGTCACCATCATCGCTATTCTCATAGTCGTGTCTACCGTTGTCGGCGTCGCCATGACACCATGCCCGCCCAATTCATTGAATCGCACTGAAATGCCCCGCTGGGAAGTGCCCAGCGGTCAGCGCCACCGCGGCCGCGCCGGGCGCGCCAAACTAGCTGGCCGATGTGTGCGCGCGAGCATGCGCGGGCTAGCGCGGCCGCAGAGATGCACCAGCCAACACCAAAACACTCGTCGCAATCGCCCCCGCATGAGTTTTGCAAACCGAGTTGCGGGTGGGTGGTTGGGATGTTTTCAACAACGTGGGATTTGTCAACCCGTTTGTAAACATCGAGTATCTCACATAGATTTTTTGTTTGAAAAGGGAGTCGATTCTACACCCCATTCCTGGGAATATTAGGATTTCCTTCGTATTGCAATTTACGGTTGATTCTGCCCCTATCGTCCATCGTAAATATGAATTCAAATCATCCCAGGCAGGCCGGTATCGCAGAACATACTGCGCGCGCAATCGTTTATCACATATCATCAGTTTTCAAGAATCCTGGGGAACAGACGTGACGAAATGCACACGCGCGCGTCGTCGCGCGCGCATGCTGGAATCCTTCAACTTGGGGCTTCGTAAGGATTTCAGAACCGAGTGTCAAAACAACATATGAGAACACATGGATTCGCAACACGGAATTTCAAGAAAAGCTTGCGCGCGAGATTTTACAAGTTCTTAAGAAAACCATATATTTGGTCTAAACATCCTCATATAATTGAATGCTACCAAACGGACTTCGCGCACGCATATCGAGATCGTTCGAACGCCCTTGCGCGCGTGCTGGTGCGAGAATCTTGTGCAACAGATGGGACGAAGTGCGTGCGCACGCGTCGTCGCCCGCGCGTGCCGGAGACCTGCAAAAACAAATTTGGTTTCGCATGGATGTCAAAACCGAGTGTCCCGAATCAATTGAAAAACGCATGGTTTCGCAGCGACCGTTTTCAAACAAACCTGCGCTCGCGCTCTTGCGAATTCGCAGGACAACGTCGGTTCCCCAATGTTATCACGGAATTCTGCCAAACGAGCCTCCCTCGCCGCATGTCGAACTCATTCGAGCGCCTTTGCGCGCGTGCTGGGGTGGCACGATCCGCATGACATAATTCCACGTGGGCCACTCGCGCGCCTCGGCCGCGCGCGCATGTCGAACTCCTTCCAAAACCTTCGTCACCGACGCGAGGACGCCGTCATCGTCGTCGGCGTGATCCGCATCGGCGCCGTCAGTGGCCGTGCCGACGTCGCTGTCAACATCGCCACACCATCATCGCTACTCTCATAATCGTGTCTACCATTGTCGACGCTGTCATGATACGGCGCCCGCCCAAATCGCCGAATCGCACTGAAGTGGCCGCTGGGGTGTGCCCAGCGGGTAGCGCCACCGCGGCGTCGTCGGTCGCGCCAAACTCGCTGGCGCGGCCGCGGGAATTCGCCAGCCAACGCCAAGCACTCATCGCAATCGCCGCCGCATGGGTTTTGCAGACCAAGTTGCGGGTGGGTGGGTGGGACGTTTGCAAGAGCATGGGATTTGCCAATCCGTGAATTAACATCAATTGTCACACATGGGAGTCACGACATTTATTGCCCCACGTAGGGTGCATGACATAGGTCGTTGGAACCCACACGATTTGGTGTTCACGGTGGCCCGTATATTTTGACGACTGTATATGCATTCGTGTGCACAGTTGTATATATATATACATATGTATATTTAACTGTTCGTGTTTATGTTTATTCATATTAACATACACATTGTATATACACACGACGATGTATACATATTTAAATGTTCGTGTATGCATTCAGTTGCACATCTGGATATATGTGTTTTTTTGTTTGTGTGTGTGTGCGTGTTCGTCGGTTCGTCGGTTGCCGAGTTGTTTCTAGCCTTGGGATTGTGTCCAGCAGCTGCGCTTCGCCGAGAGAAGGCGATCGGATGGGGTGCGCAGATCTTCCCGACCGGCCGCTGGGGACCAGTGTTATGAACCGAAAACCATGCATTGTTCCTGGCCGACGCTGGCTGAACCGAGGCTGCCGGGAAGCGGCCCGGCCAGCACGTGGCAATTTGACCCCTTCCGGCTTGAGATTTCCGGCGACGTGATGTCCTCAATTTCGCAGTTCTCCCCCCGTGATCTCGACCTCCAGAGCCCGTCGTCGGCCCCCAGGACAACCAAAAACGGATATGTGGCGTAACGTTACCCCCATGTCATTCAAGAAAACACATCGCCGGATGCCCAGGCCTCCCAAGCGGGGTCCGAAAATCGGAGAAGATCGCGCCGCATCGCGGACGCGTCGGCGATTCGGCTCGATGTGTAGCCCGATTTTCTCCACCCTGACAGCGACGATGCATTGGCGATGCATCGGCGATGCGGGACCCCATCTACTCGGAACTGATCTGGGACGCGTCCATGAGACAAGACGGACAGACAGATCCCTCACGGCTCCAGAGCTGGTCCTGCACAGGATGCGGGAGGACGGTAGCTTGTAAAGCTTTTCTGCAACACGCGCAGCACACAACACAACACAACACAGCATTCCACAACACAACACAGCACAATACTACAATCCAGCGAAGCAACCGACCCTTTCCGCCTTGAGATTCGGAACGTTACGGGAGCTATCGATGGGGAAGGCCGACAACGGGTCCTGTCCATTTCAGCAGGACTCACTGTCGGTGTCGCCGCGGACGTTGTCCATTCGAGACAAGACGTCTCACCGCCGTCGATTTTGAACATCGCTTGCTGTTCGGCATCGCCCCCATCTTTCGGTATCCACTGGGGGTGTGCGAAGAGACTGTGGCGTCGCACTTTTTCCTCTCCGTGCGTTTTCGCTTAGTTTCGGGCCCCGGGCCCGTCGCAGATCGATCCGGTTCGGGAGAGGCCGCAGAAAGTTGGGGTCTTGTGCTCCACCGTGTATTGTGTCGCGTCTTCGGATCTCAATTCAGGCGCAACGTGAGGGGTGGATAGGCTGCGGGGGACTGCATCGACCCCCAATCGCCCATTCATCGCCGATAGGGACCTGATAGCCCAGAACGCCCAGCAACCTGCGGTTCCGCTATCGGGGGCCCATGCATACTGCAGTGGGTTCCGAATGGATTCTGTATGGATTTGTTTCTCCAGGGCGTGGATTTGCGCATGGATTCCGCGGCGCGAGCCATTGAACATGAAAAACAGCAGTCGGTATGGATTCCTGCGTGGATTCTGTATGGATTTCTCCCACTGCAAAGCCATACAACATCACATTGACTCCAGTTTTGGAAAGGGGGATCAATCCATTCGGAATCTGGCCGAAATTCATGCGAGAATCCATGCGACTGTCCATGCGTGTATGCTACGCATCGACAGCGGCGGTCAGCAACGAGCAATTGGCCGAATAAATCAATGCATCGAGTTTGCAAGATGTCGTGCCTGACCATGTGGCCGATCTATCGACGACGTATCGCGGAAACACGCACGATGTTCCCCCACCTGAGTTGGTCCCACCTACCGTTCTCGTTCAATCGTGCCCCCCTCCTCAGTGGGAATGGGTGCTGCCAGACTCGAAGGCAGCGGCACCCTTCCCCTCCTTGAGGTGGTGCAGGCCTTCCCCACCGGGGTCACCTCGGCGGGGCCCGGGCCGAGGTTTCCCTGGTGGGGGTGTGGATGGCTTTCGTTGTCCAGAGAGGCTGCTGGGGCGCCCCCTGCCGCCAACTTCCGCCGCGCAGGCGGGCAACGTCGCCGCCGCCTCCGTCGTCTTCGTCGCCGCCATCGTCGTCGTCGTCGTCACCGCCATCGTCGTCGTCGTCTCCGTCGCCGTCGCCGTCTCCGTCGCCGTCGCCGTCGCGTCGCCGTCGCCGTCGCCGCCGCCACCGCCACCGCCGTCATCGTCGATGATCGAGATGTTTTATTGTTCGTCGTCGTCGTCGCCGCCGCTCGTTGCCGCTCGTCGCCGCTCGCTGCCGCTCAGGCGGAGACGCCTCGGCGCGACGACCAGCGACGACGGCGACGAGTGGCGTTGTCGACGACGGTGGCGGCGGCAGCGACGGCGGCGGCCGCGCAGGCCGCCAGTGCGGCCCGCCGGCTGGAGAGCGCGTCGTCGGCGTTGGACGCCCTGGGGGACGTGGGCACGAAGAGGGCGCAGCCGCCGCCCAGGCCCAAGGCCCCCATCGGGGAGGTCGAGGAGGCCGAGGATCGGTGCTCGCTTGTGGCGGTGCGCGCGAGGGGGTGGCGCGCGCGCGGCGACCTTCCAAGAAGGCGGGGGGGCTTCCAAGAAGGCGGGGGGCTTCTGGAGAGCCCTCCCAGCTTTTCAAAAGAAGCCTTCCTGCGAGCCTTTGGGCCCGTCGAAGGAGCCCCCCCTCTGCCTTCCAAGAGGCCCCCGCCCTTCCTCCGAGGCCGCCCGTCCGGTGCCACCCCCACGTGCGCGCCGCCCTCGCTCGTCGAGGCAGTTGAGATGAGAGGGCTGTGGGTTTTTTGGGCGTCTTGGGCGGAGGGGGCGCGAGGAGGGCGCAGCCGTCGCCCAGGCCCGCGGCCGAAGAGGGGACCAATCCCGGCCGACAGGACTACATCCTGGCCAAGTGGGTCCAGTCCCGGCCAACTAGACCAAATCCCGGCCGAGTTCGGAGCTCTCAAGTGCCCTGAAGCGCTCCTAAAAGATCTGAAGAGCGCTCTGAAGAGGTCTTGCGAGCGCTCTTATGCGCTCTGTGTCCTGTGTACTGGTGTTCCTTGTTCTTACAAGCAATGAAGAGGGTGTTTCCGAGCTCTTCAGACCCCTAATGAGCTTCTGAAGTGCTTCCGACGAGCTGAGGAGATCAAACATTGAGCCAGGACAACATGCCACTCTTGGGGAAGTTGTCGGATGATTCTCGCGTTGCCCCCGCGCCGCCGTCGTCGTCGCCGCCCCCGCCCCGACGACGGGGGGGGCCCAGGCGAGGCAGCGCGGAAATCCAGATGGTTTCTTATGTTGATTCATGACTGAACATTAACTATTGTTGATGCCCCCCTCTGGGTCACATGGTGTTTTTTTCAAGTGGATTGCTGCCCTTCCCGGGGCTCGCGTCCTGTTTCTTATCAGGGAAAGTTTTGGGTCTCAGAATTGTGTTGTTGGCCCCCGGTTTACAGCAACAGCGGCTCCCGCCTGATGTCCCCTTTTAAATTTGTTCGCAAGTTGCGTTTTCGCGAGGGGCCTCCTCGCAATTTTTGCAGAACTCGCGCTCTCGCGTGGGAATTCCTCACGATTCATTCAGACGCCGCGCCCTCGACACTCAGGAATCACGCTATCGCTCTGGATTTCCTCGCAATTCCTTTGGGAATCGCGCTATCGCTCGAGACTTCCCGCGATTCCTGCAGGACTCACGCGTCAGCGAGCCGCATGCTCGACCTGGCCGCCTGGGCCCGCCCTCCCCACCCGCCCGTGATAGCTTACCTACCCGCCCGACCAACCCGTCTGGTTCTGCCACCTCTATTCTGCTCCTAGCCCCCCTCCTGCTACTCTCTCTCGCGTTCCATCCTCTTCCGTCCTCTTTGTCCCTTCCTTCCATCCGTCCTTTCTTCCCCTGCCTTAGGGGCTGCGCAAAATACATGTTGCAGGTCAGAAAAATATACCCCCAAATGGGGTACGATCGAAGAAGAAGAGGGCGGGTATCGAGGGTCTGGAATGTACGTGATGAATGGCACGCGAGCAGATATCGGCGAACAGTCTTAACATGATTGTTGTTGAACTCCGACTACTAAATCGTAACTATTTTTGATTCCCCCCTCTCCGGGGCACATGGTGATATTTCAATTGAAGTGCCCTTCGCGGGGCTCGCACAGTCTTTATCAGGAAAAATGATTGGTCTCAGAATTGTGTTGCTGGCCCCCTTTTTACAACAACAGCAACATCGGCTCCCACTTCATGTTTCCTCACAATTTGTTCGCAAATCGCGCTTTCGCGCTGGATTGCCTTATAAGTTGTGCAGAAATCGCACTTTCGCATGGGACTTCATCGCAATTCAATCAGGCGTCGCGCCTCCAACCCTTAGGAATGACGCTGTCGCTCGAGACGGCCTCGCGGTTCATGCTCACGCTCCGGCAACCCTCCTGTTCGACCTGGTCGTCTGGGCCCGCTTTCCAGACCCGCCCGCTAGGGTCTACCGCCCGATATGCCCGTCTATTTCTGCCACGTGTTTTCTGCTCCGAGTCCCCCACCTGCTACTTTCTCTCGTCCTGATCCTCCTCCCTCCCTCGCCCATCCGTCCTTTGTTCCCTCGTTTTAGGGGCAGCGCCAACTAAACGCGGCAGGTAGGGAACATGTACCCCGAAGAGGGGGTACGATCGAAGACGACGAGGGCGGGTACCGAGGGTTTGGGATATACGTGTTGAATGGCATGCGAGCTGGTAGGAGCGAGCAGCCCTAAAATGGATGTTGAACTTTCATTTGCCAAAACAGCTGATTGTTGATACCCCCTCCGTGTGCGCATGGTACTTTCGATTGAAGCGCCCCTCCCTGGGCTCGCACCCTGGTTTCTATCAGGGAAAATCTTGAGCCTCAAACTGCGCCCTGGCCCACCGAGTTACAGCAACAACAACAATAATCAGTTTAAGACTGTTCGCTCTGACCTGCTCGAGTGTCCGTCAACGCGTAATTTCCAAACCCTCGATGCCCGCCTTCTTCGTCTTCGATCGTAGCCCTTTTGGGGGGTACACCTTCCTTCCCTGCAGGCCGGGCCCAGGCAAGAAGCGGGGCGGCCGCGGACCGTCGGCCTGGCCAGCGGCAGCGCTGATCGGCGGCAGCCCGACTCCAAAAGGGACGGACAGGGGACCGACCGCGACGACGACGACGACGGCGACGACGACGACGACGGCGACGACGACGACGATGACGACGACGACGAACGAAAGCGAAAGCGAGAGAGAGACCGACCGCAGGGCCACGAAGGGCACGAAGTAGGCCACGAAGGGCGACAGCGGGGACACGAGGGAAATGCGTATGGGGCACGAAGAGCGCGAGCGAGCGGGAGCCGCGAAGGGCACATGATGCGGGGTCACAGAAGGCAGCGACGGGGCCACTAAGGGTAGCAACTGGGCCACGTAGGACAGCGAAGGGGCCGCATACGGCGAGAGATGGGCCACGAAGGGCATGCGCATGGGGCCGCGACGGGCGCGAACGAGCGGGGGCCACGAATGGCATGCGCATATTGGGCCGCTGTGTGCAAGGACGGGGCCACTGAGGGCAGCGACGGGGCCGCGAAGGGCAGCGAGGGGGCCGCGAAGGGCGACGGCGGGGCCACGGAGGGCATGCGCATGGGGCCGCGACGGGCGAGAACGAGCGGGGGCCCCGAAGGGCATGCATATATGGGGCCGCGACGGGCGCGAACGAGCGGGGGCTGCAACGGGGCCACGAAAGGCAGCGAGATCACGATTCCTACGTAATCTGTGAGCGGGTCCTAAGCGTGAGCGCTACTCCTTGGTGGGCGATGATGATGCTGATGATGATGCTGATGATGATGCTGATGATGATGCTGATGCTGATGCTGACGCTGATGCTGATGATGATGCCGATCATGATGATGAGGATGCTGATGATGATTATGATGATGCTGATGATGATTATGATGATGATTATGATGATGTTGATGATGCTGATTATGCTGATGATGATTATTATGATGATGGTGATGATGCTGCTGATGATGATGTTGATGATGATGATGATGCTGATGATGATTATGATGAGGATAATGATAATGATGTTGATGATCATGATGTTGATGATGATGCTGAGGATGATGATACGGATGATGATGATGCTGATGATGCTGATGATGCTGCTGATGATGCTGATGATGATGATTATGATGCTGATGATGCTGAAGATGATTACGGTGGTGGTGGTGATGATGATGCTGATGGTGATGATGATGATGGTGATGATGGTAATGATGGTGATGGTGATGGTGATGATGGTGATGGTGATGATGATGATGCTGATGCTGATGATGATGATTATGATGATGCTGATGCTGATGATGCTGATTATGATGATGATTGATTATGCTGATGATGATGCTGCTTATGCTGATGATGATGATGTTGATGATGCTGCTGATGATGATGGTGATGATGGTGATGACGATGATGATGCTGCTGATGATGCTGATGCTGATGATGATGATGATGATGAAGATGATGATGATGATGATGATGATGCTGATGATGAAGATGATGATGCTGATGATGGTGATGATGATGCTGATGATGATGCTGCTGATGATGATGAAGATGATGATGATGATGATGATGAAGATGATGCTGCTGATGATGATGATGCTGATGATGATGATGCTGTTGCTCATGATGATGATGTTGATGATGTTGTTGATGATGATGGTGATGATGATGATGATGATGATGATGTTGTTGTTGTTGTTGTTGATGATGCTGATGATGATGACGATGTTGATGTTGATGATGATGATGATGATGTGATGATGCTGATGATGATGATGACGATGTTGATGTTGCTGATGATGAATGATGATGATGATGATGATGCTGATGATGATGATGATGTGATGATGATGCTGCTGATGATGATGATGATGATGATGATGGAGGAGGAGGAGGAGGAGGAGGAGGAGGAGGAGGAGGAGGAGGAGGAGGGGGAGGGGGAGGAGGGAGGAGGAGGGGAGGAGGAGGAGGAGGAGGAAGAGGCGGAGGAGGAGGAGGAGGAGGAGGAGGAGGGAGGAGGAGGAGGAGGAGGAGGGGAAGGAGGAGGAGGCGGAGGAGGAGGCGTAGGAGGAGGAGGAGGAGGAGGAGGAGGGAGGAGGAGGGGGGAGGAGGAGGCGGAGGAGGAGCAGGAGAGGAGGACAGGAGGAGGACGAAGAGGAGGAGGAGAATTGGGGAGGAGGGGAGTTGGAGTTGGAGGGGGGGGGGGGAGGAGGATGAGGAGGAGGAGGGGGAGGGGAGGAGAGGAGAGGAGGAGGAGGAGGAGGAGGGGGCGGAGGAGGATGGAGGAGGGGGAGGGGGAGGAGAGGAGGAGGAGGAGGAGGAGGAGGTGGAGGAGGAGGAGGAGGAGGAGGGGTGGAGGAGGGAGGAGGAGGAGGAGGAGAGAGGAAGGAGGAGGAGGAGAGGAGGATGGGAGGGAGGGAGGGAGGGAGGGAGGGAGGGAGGGAAGGACAGAGGGAAGGAGGAGGGCGAGGAGGAGGAGCAGGAGCAGGAGCCGGCGGAGAGGGAGGAGCATGGGGAGAAGGAGGGGCAGGACGACAGGAGGAGCAGGAGGAACAGGAGGAGGAGGAGGAGGAGGAGGAGGAGGAGGAGGAGGAGTAACAACAGTACTACCAATACGAATACGAAGACTAGGAATACTAATGCGACTTTTACTATTACTCATACTTAACAAAAATAACAGTCAGAATGCCCATACGGATACCCCGTGATATAACCACTAAGAAGAATCCGACGGCGAAAATTACTAATGCTAAGAATAATCTTAGTACTACGAATAACTATGAAGAGGATTGCGAATTATAATCAGACGCATACTGCGAATCATAAGAATATTGACAGCAGTATTTATACGACGAACAAATAATACGACTACGCAAGATACCACGACTACTGCTAACAGCACTGATAATATTATTGATGATGCTACTACTGATACTATCACTACTCGTACTAATATCCAGAAGAAGAATAAGAATAAGGCGACGACTCATAATACTAACCCTACGGCCTGATACTAAAAGGACAATACTACGAATACGAATAATATCACCAATTCCACGAATACTACGAATCATGCTACTAAGCATGATGATAACAATGATGTCGCTACGAAGAAGAAACTTCCACACTATTTTAATACAACTGCTACTACGAATAATAAGACGATGCGCGTAGTAATCTGAATACCACTGCAGGCAATAGTACGACGAAACATGATAACAACAACAACAATAATACTAATATTAATATCATAAAGAAAGAATTTTAATATTGCGAAGAAAGCGAATACGGACCCATTCTGATCCGACTAATACGAAGAGGAGGAGGAGGAAGAGGAGGAGGAGGCGGAGGCGGAGGCGGTGGCGGAGGAGGATGAGGCGGAGGAGGAGGAGGCGGAAGAGGAGGATGAGGAGGATTCGGAGTTCGAGTTGGAGTTGGGGTTGGAGCAGGAGGAGGAGGACGAGGAGGAGGAGGAGGAGGAGGAGGAGGAGGAGGAAGAGGATGAGGAGGAGCAGGAGGAGCAGGAGGAAGAGGGAGGAGGTAGAAGAGGCCTCTTTAGGGCCTTTTGAAGGCCTCTTTGAGGGCTTCCTGGCCCGCTGCAGTTGCCGAGCTCCCTTCAGAGGCGCCGCAGGCTGGCCAGGCGCTGCCGGAGGAGCCGCCAGCTGCTGGCCTCTGCGGCTGCTGCCGCCGCCGCCGCCGCCCAGGGCCAACGGGCCACGCCGCGTCGCCAGGGTCGGTGTCCTCGCCGCCTCGCGCTGGCGGCCAGAGGAGGAAAGAGACCCACTGGGATCGGTGCGGGGGTTGCTAAGGGGATGGGGGGCCACCAGTGGATGCGAGGTTCGGTCATATCTGGCCTATAATCTAGCTTATAAGTGGACTTGCAAGTGCCCCAGGCGGCTTCGGGGGTTTACCGCTCTGGGGTATCTGGTCTCCGTCCACTTCGCGGAGTTATCTAACTTCCCCAAGCCATTTGGGGCATTTGTAACCCACCATAAGCTTGGTGAGGCTGGATATCGCCGATCTTGGCATCCATTGATACCCCCCCTATCCCCTTAGCACCTCCCGCACCGATCCTGGCAGATCTCAGACGGTAAGTTTTTGTCAATCCCAGCGTTTCTCTTCCGTTTCGGCCCTGGGGGGCAGTTATCGGGCCTTAGGGTTATCAGACATGGATTCGGGATTCTAAGCTACCCCTGGGGAAGTGGTCGGGGAGCTCTGGGGCCGCAGGGTGACACGATCATGTCGGCGGATGCCGGGGGGTGCCGATGCCGCTGCTCGTCCTCCAGAGCCCTCATCGCCACGGCTGGCTTCTCCTCGGAGACCTGGTCAGAGGGGGGATCGGGAGTGGTCCTGGGAGCAGCGGCATCGTTTTTTTGTTTGCTCCGCCAGGTGGCGTGAGGGATGACATTTCCTCGGCCTCCGAGTCGGCCTACGACGAGTCTGGTGCCCTGCTCGTGTAGCTGCCGCGCGGCGTGGCTGGCAGGCGCGGCACCATGGTGGGGCTGGTGGCGCGAGGGGGTGGGGTCACAAGCGACGAAAGTGCCCATTTCCACATCCTCGCGGTCTGGATTCCTGGGCGCGATCCTGTGGCTACGCGGTCGTGTGGATGCGTTCTGTGTGGGGCAACAGACTGCCCCATATCCATGGGGTCGCGGCCCAGGGGCCCAGCCCGCGAGGCCGTATATACCAACATGTTTCCCGCCCGCGAGGGGGGAGGGGGACGGGGCCCTTGACAGGGGCGGAGGGGGCCTCCCAAGAGGCGGCGGGCTTCTCCAGGAGCCCTCCGCGGCTTTCGAGGAGCCCCCGCCCCAACGCCCTGTCGAGGGCCCTTCAGGAAAAGGGCCCCCGCCTGCCAAGAAGCTCCCCCCTGCATTCTCGGAAGCCCCCTCTCGCGCCATCCCCAGCCTGGCCCCCCCCCGGCTGGGTGTTGCCAGCGGTGTCCCAGTCCCAAGGCGGAGGTCCAGATGGCCTCCAGAGCACCCCTCACAAGGCCCAAGGGGCTCCAAGGGCTTCCCATCGGGGCGACAATTTGTGGACACGCTGGGCCAGGATAAGTTCTAGCAACACCCGGCCCACCGTGATCGACGTGCGGGGCGTATGCGGCGGCGCCGAACGGCGCGGTCCGGCGGCGCGCTGCTCGTACGCGCCTCGCGCCGTGGTGCGGCGCTCGCGCGCGCGGGCGCCGGCGCCGAACGGCGCAGGGCGGCGGCGAGGAGGTCTGCGAGCTCGCCGATCTGGCGGCTTCGGCGCGAGGGGCTCATCGCTGGTTCCGTGCACGCCTCCGAGGCATCGAGGCCTCCCAGACGGTCTCAGAACGGATGGGGTCGGCGGATCGCGCCGCATCGCCGATGCATCGGCGATGCGGCGCGGTGTGGGGCGTGATTTGCCCCACGCCGACGGCGCCGATGCATCGCCAGCGTTGCCGATGCATCGGGGATGCATCGACGATTCGGCGCGATCTTCGGACCCCATCTACTCCGACCCCATCTGGGAGGCCTCTACACATCGAGGCAGGCGGTGACACCACTGGCCATGGCGCTTCCGCGGAAAAGTCTACGGCCGCTTGCCAGACCTCTCAGCAGCAGGCAACAAGGGTGTCCGCGGTTCGGTCTGCTCGTCTGCGTCGCAGTTGGTTGCTCGTGCGTTCGGTTCGGCCCGTTCTTGTTTCGTTGTCGCCTCGATGATCCTTTCTCGGCTGCTTCTAGCAGATTCCACTTAGGCTTGTGTCCACTGACTTCTGTTTTGACTTCGCTGTCCGCTCGGCGGTGTTCGGTTTCGCTGTCGCCGTGAACGGGCTTAGGTCTTTCGCCTTCGTCCGCAGGTTCATCAAAACATAATGTGGCCTGCTGCAAGGTGCTCCACGGACATTCCTCATTCCCCGATTGCCCCTGGCGACCCCTGAGTCGTGGGGCGCCCCAGAAATAGACAAATTGGTGAAAACATTCCCCCTCACATTTCTTCCAGCCAGGTTTTGTTCGTCTGTGTCTACTGTGTCCCTGCGTGCCCAATCGACTCTGGGATGTCGGAGTCCCAGCAGGGGTTCACGTGGCTGCAGACATCCTTCAAATCTGGCACCCTCGCCAGTGTTAGATCTCCAGGGGTAGATGGGATTCACATGTGGTTGTTCCGCGCCCGGGTATCCTTGATCGTGGTTGCCGGGGTTCGATGATTGATGTTTGAGATTCGATGACGTCCGAGGTACACCGCCAATCTGTCTTCCCAGAGGTAACCGTCACGTGTTCTTGAATGCTCTCCTGCTGGGAACACGTCTGAAGTACGACCGCGCAGAACTTGGGAAAACGATGCCGCTGTCCAATGCTTCTGCGGATGGTTTTTGCGCCACAGGTACCCACCATACATAGAGACATGTCCTTCGTGGCTATTTTCGCTCAAGCTATTTTTGACCAAATCATTTCGATTTCAGTTACCGTGGCTAAATTGCCAGGTTATTTCGGGGACCGAACTTCTCCTGCCATGTGTCGTGCGACAATGATTTGCGCAGATTCCCTGGCGGCCTGCGTCGCTGTGGCGAGCGGGCTCCATGCCGACACGGGCGCCCTGACATAGTTGCGCGGTTCCAGCCAGTCGGTCCTCATCCTGGGGTGTTCTGTTGACAGGAACGCCGTGGAGACACTGTGGCAAGGTGGATCAGTCTTATCGCGTGGGGTACTACGACAAGGAGCGCGAGCTCTCAATCGGCTTCGTCTTTCACCCCGGGGTAGGCATCAACGGTGACCTGCAGCCGCCCTTCTACAACCGCACCCAGTGGGGCTGCGGTATAGGGCAGCCCATGTCTGCTGAAGTCACGTCTCTGTACAAGTGGTCCGTGGGCATGGTGGGGGAGCAGTTCCCTGACGTGGGCGCCAAGAACGTGACGGCAGAGCGACTGCACCAGTGGGGCGTCCGTGATCAGAGGAATCTTTTGGAAGGTGTGTCTGGAACAGCCGCGTCGTCTTCAGGACTGCGCCTGCGGTGTGCAAGACAAAGTGGTCACGAATTACGTCGCGGCAATCTCTGCTGATGGAGTCCGCATGATGCGGAGGGAGTGGAGGAAACACATGAGAAACGGCAAGTTGTACGGCAAGTACGAGGTGATCGACTACAGCAAGGTCATGGACGATCTTATCCAGGAGCGCGGGTTCGTCGATCCGTCCCTGTGGTTGAAGGATGGGTACCGTCCCAGCGTGGAGCCCTCCCGGCGCTACCTCAATGCGATCTTCCACTTCCTGAACGTGACGACGGCGGAGGAGGAGGCGCAGGTGAACGGCAACAAACGGTTGACGTTTGCGCCCGCTGGCGACTGGGATGAGGCGGGCGATATCTCGTAATGTTTCAGCCAGCCCGCTTGTGCGCGTGGATTTGCCGGGCATGGGCGCTCCAGCTGGCTTCTGGTTCCGCACACATTGCCTGTTGGTAGACCAGGCATGTGTGTTCACCACATCTGCTAGCACCCGGCCACCTTTGAAAGGCAGGGCCCCAGACAGTCCGAACCATTTCAGTTAGGTTCCCAAGCCCGACCCCCATGAGGGGTCGGGGAGGAAGGATGCTGGATGTTTTTCGCACCGCCTCGAAAATAGATTCGGCATTCTTTACGCTTCGCGTATCCCCACCAGCCCATCTCACAGCAGCAACTCTTGCGAAGCATGCCGACAGTCGTGTTTTTCAGGCGTGTGTCCGCTAGGCCCCGCATATCTCCCCTGTTCCTCCTTCCTCCCGCCTCCTTGTACATCCTCCTTGTGGGGGGAGCGGGAGAAGGACGAGGCGGAGGAGGAGGGAGAGAAAGCGCTCCTCGTGATTTGAGTCGTTTGGGGTTTCTCGTCCTGGTGTGAGTCGTTCGGGCCCTTCTTCCTGGTGTGAGTCGTTCGGGCTCTTCGTGGTGTGAGTCGTTCGGGCTCTTCGTCCTGGTGTGAGTCGTTCGGGCTTCTCGTGGTGTGAGTTGTTCGGGCCCCTCATCCTGGTGTGAGTCGTTCGGGCCCCTCCTCCTGGTGTGACTCGTTCGGGCTCCTCGTGGTGTGAGTCGTTCGGGGCCCGCGTCGTGGTGTGAGTCGTTCGGGCTCCTCGTGGTGTGAGTCGTTCGGGCGCCTCGTCCTGGTGTGAGTCGTTCGGGCCCCTCCTTGTGGTGTGAGTCGTTCGGGCTCCTCGTGGGGCCTCTTGGGGGCCTCTTGGAGGCTCTTGGGGCCTCTTGGGGGCCTCTTGGGGGCCTCTTGGGGGCCTCTTCGGGGCCTCTTGGGGCTTCTCGGGGCCTCTTGGGGGCCTCTTGGGGCCTCTTGGGGGGGGCCTCTTGGGGGGCCTCTTGGAGGCCTCTTGGGAGCCTCCTGGGGGCCTCTTGGGGCCATCTTGGGGCCTCTTGCGACCTCCTCAGAAGCGCAAATGAGCGCTGCCCCCTGAGAAGGACAAAATGAGCCCAAAACCTTAGTAAAATCAGTGATTTTGCTATGAGCTTTAATGAGCGCGGCCCCCTCAGAAGGCCAAAATGGGACCAAAACCGTAGTAAAATCAATGATTTTGGCTTCCAAGAAGAGGAGGGTGTTTTTTCTCCCTCCCCCCGTCGGGGCCAGAATCCTCGTGAGGGGTGTCGTTTTTTAGCCCTCCCAGGAGAAACGCCCTCTCCAGGCCCAGGGGGAGGGGGTAGGGGGAGGGGTAAACCCCTCCCCGAAGGGGAAGAAGGGGGGTTGAGGACAGAGAGAGCTCGCTAAACCACTCACGCCCAAAGGGCTGGTGGGATTTGCTCAGGCTGGGGCACATCTTCTGTCGATCCCATCAGGGGCAGTTTCCTCCAACGAGGAGGTGGGAGGGGGAGCGAAGTAGGTCTCTCGATGACTTCTGGCCCCATGCCGTCCAGTGTTCTGTGCTGAGGAGCACCTGATCTGGGTTGATCACGTTCGGCCACTTGGGTGGAGCTACGATGCGTGGAACAATCCCCTGATATCAATCTGACCTTTTGCTCCTGGCCAATCTGGCCGAGTGCCTCAATAGTCTTGGGCCCCCACTCCCCCTCGGACTACAAGAGCTCCCTGGACTGCGAGACACACACCCCTCCTGGACAGCAGGACCCCCCTGGGACATCCGCCTCTTCCCCGGGCGATCGAGTGTTGCGTAATGAGGGCCTGCGAACGGGCGTGTGAAGAAGTGTGTGCTTGTCGTCCACCTTCGGGGCCCGAAATGGGCCCCCCCTGGGGCCCAAAAGGTGCACGACATGTGCACGTTTCTTCGCTCCCCCGGCTGTCCTCCCAGGAAGATGCGATACGCCCAGGGCGAGGCCTCCCCGAGGCCCAGAAGCGTGAACATCGCGTCCGCGCGGTCTGTCCCGATGCCTTCGAGGTCTGGGTCGGCGGCGGCGGCAGCGGCACCGGGAGGCATCCCTCCGCTTCGCCGCGCCGCTGCCGCGCTCCGCCGCGAGCGCGGGCTCCCGGCCCCGCTCCCCCCCCTCCCCCCGCGGGCGCGGCGCCAAGCGCGCAAGCAAGCGCGGGCCGCTCCAGGGAGGGGCGCGCCCCCCCCGCCCCCACGGGCGAGCCGCCACGCGGCTCGCGGAGCGCGCGAGCCGCGGGCGCGAAGGCCGCGGGCTGCTCTGGAGCGGTGTGCGAGTGTGTGTCTGTGTGTGTGTATATGTGTGTGCATGTGCGTGTGTGTGTGTGTGTGTTTGGTGTGTGTGTTTGTGTGAGAGAGAGAGAGGGAGTGTGTGTGTGTGTTTTTGTTTGTGTGTGTGTGTGTTTTGTATGTGTGTGTGTGTGTGTGTGTGTGTGTGTGTGTGTGTGTGTGTGTGTGTGTGTGTGTGTGTGTGGGGGGGGGGGGGGGGGGAGGTGCCGGGGCAGAGGATCGAAGAGGGGAGGGGGCGGAGGGAGGGGAGGAGAGGGGAGGGGAGGAGAGGGAGCGAGGGGAGGAAGGGGGAGCGAGGGGAGGCGGGGAGGGAGAGAGGGGGAGGGGCGGGAGGAGGGGATGGGCGGGAGGAGGGATGAGCAGGGGAGGGGAAGGGAGAGGAGGGGAGAGGGCGCACCACATCGGAGTGGGGCGTTGTCCGGGCCCCTGGGCCTCGCGTGTCTGGCAGGCCCGCCTCACATGACGGGCGGCGCCGTTTTCAAAACGGGGGCGGTGGGATTATTACCTCCCCCCTTGGCGCGGACGGGGTCCTGGGCTGGGAAAAAGGTGTCGGGCGGCGGCGATAAGATGACTCGAGGGCCCGTCCGCGCCCCCTGTAGAAGGACGTACTGGCTTTCCGCGCGCGCGCGCGTGGGCGTGCGCCCCTCGCCGCCCAGGCGAAGAGAAACACCGCCGCGGGGCATCCCCCGCGGTGGCCCAGGAGAGGCAGACGACGGATCGCGTGCCGACTGTTCACGCGGCCCGCGTGGAAGGTGCTCCTCCTCCTCCTCCTCCTCCTCCTGCTCCTCCTCCTCCTCCTCCTCCTCCTCCTCTTCCTCCCCCTCCTCCCCCTCCCCATCCTCCTCCCCCCCTCTTCCTCTTCCTCTTTCTCCTCCTCCTCCGTGCGAAAGGTGGCTAGCACTGGTGTGCCGCACTGTGGGGGGTCGAAGAGGACTTGGAGGGTGGCATGGAGGGAGGCCCCCCTGGCCGCGTCAGGGCGGAACGCCCGTTGCAGTCCACTCCAGGCGATCGGCGGTGCTTCGTGACCGTGGATCTGTTGAATGAGAGGTCACCCGCTGGTTGACGTGCTGGGCGGATGCTTGAGTACTGGCGGTGGGAGTTGTCTCGCGGACCCGTTGTCGTTGGTCACTTGCCGCAGTGAGGCGCTGCGTGAGGGCATTCCTCCGAATGGTGCGATGCTCGGAGGCCGTTCGTTCGCCCACACCCTGGTGGGCGGTGCTGCGGCCCTTGGTTCCCCTTCCCTGGTGGGTGTGCAGCTGCACTGGCCGACCCGGCGGTTTGGGGCGGCGGAGCTGACCCGTGGGGTGCAGTTCACGACCCCTCGCCTTCCACGAGCGGGCCTCTCTCGGGAGGGCGGCGTGGCTGGCGGAGTCGTGCCCTGGGGTGTGGCGGTCAGCGTCCGGGCGGCTTCGGCGGCCGCGGGCGTGGTGGCCTCGCCCCCAGGTCGCGCGGCCGGCCCTGTCGGCTCCCTGGCGGGCCGAGGGGGTCGGCGCGCTGAGATTGGAGCGATGCGTGGCCAGCGTGCCTTGCCGCTCCCGAGCGTCGAGCAGCTGTGCGTTTGCCGTCGCGCCCTTTGTCGCGCGCGCATCTCCTCCGGGTCCCTGGTGGGCCGTACGGGCAGGCGTGCTTCGTTTGGAGAGGTGGGTGACCGTCGTGTCCACTCGGTGCGGAATGTGGACCGGCGGTGCGATGCCAGGCGCGTCATGGGACCCCGGGCAGTGTGAGCGTTGTCGGCATGGTGTCTCGGTGGTGGATGGACGTAGTCATCGTTGTCGTTAAGCGAGGTCCCGATACCGAGGGGGTCGAGGTCGTCAGCGGTGAATTCGTCCATGTGTGGGAGCAAGGACAAGGAGTCTCCAGGCTCGACAAAGGAATCTGGACCCGGTGGTTCGGCCATTGAAGCTGGTCATCTTTTTGCACCTGTACCGTGTTCTCCCTGACTGGTGGTGAGCGGGTTTGTTTCCATTTTGGAGAGCTCCGACTTGGACTGCCCTGCTTCTCTAATGCAGAAGGAGGCTGTAGTGTTTCTCGTCACAGATGGTGGCGGCCGTGGTGTGAAGGACCGCGGCGAGCGCCATCTAGCTGCATCGACCACACTTTGTGGGATGCTGTGTGGCCTCGCTCCTGCGGTGACGAGTTTCTGTCAGCATGCTGGTCGAAGGCTTCCGCGATGGGCGTGATGCCGCCATCAGCGATGCCCTGCTCGCGGAGGTGGCTTCTGACTTTCTTGATCTTAAAAATTTCCGGCCTTGTCAAGAACGCCCCGTGTTTTTTTCGCCAAGCGTCGAATTGCGGGCCCAGTTTGTGTGGCTGGTTATCGCGGAAGATGTCGACGAGAACGCCCGCAGGCGCGCAGCCGCGGACGCACGGTCCGCAGCATGGCCAGAGTTGCGGCTCGTTGCGCGGATTGAGAAAGGCCGCGCGCTTTGGGCAGCGTGGTGGAGACGGTGGTCCGGCCCGCAGAACACACCATAGCCCGCTCTGGCGAAGGGGTCGGGGGTGGACAGACCTCCCACCCTGACACGTCGATTAGCGAATTGGCCGTTTTCGGTTCGCGAGGGAGCGTCGCGGTCGACATTTTTGCGGGTCCAGGTCCAGGTCGTTAAGGGGAGGTTTACTAAAGGGAGGTTTTTCCACCGCCGAGGGGGGTGGGTGGGCGTTGTTCAAGCAGGCCCCGTCGGTTGCGGCGTAGGCCCACCGGGCGCCCTGCTCGTCAGCGCCTTCATGGTAGGCGTTGCGTCGGATTTCCCCCAGCGCAGTCGCGGGATCGGCCGTCGGAGTTCGTCTGACGCGAGGGCAGCCTGGAGGTCGAGCGTAGGGTCTTCCTCTAGAAGATCGCAGTGCCTGGTGCCTGAAATGGTTTGGGAGACCCTGCGATCATGGCTGATCGATCATGGTATTGAGGGCCGTCCTCTGATGAGCCCGGCAAGGGCAGCTTCAGGCCGCGTGCTCCTGCTTCTAGGTCGCGCCTCCTGCGTGGGGGCGATGGGTCAGCCGAGATGCTGGCCCTGGCTTTCTGCTGTTGGGTGTGTTCACCCCCGCAGATGTAGTTGCCGAGAAGCCCGAGTGCCCGGTTCTTGGTTATGAGAAGCCATGTGTTACCAAACTAGTCATGGCCCCATTTGGACGGCGGCCGCGGCCCCGAGATCGCGCTCGGTCGGCGGGGGGCGTCGGGGGAAAGGTCTCCGCTGCGAAGCCCAGACCACATGGGTGAAGAGGCCATCTGGTGATTATAGCCAGGAGAGGCACGCGCACCCATCATCATGCACGGTGGTGAATTCAGGCCGTCGCCATCCGAGCAGGGCAGTGGTTTGCCACGCTCCATTGGGGGGCCGCCCCCTGGAAAAGTTTGCGCATGGCCACGGGGCGACTAGGCTTTGGCGTGGGGGTTGGCGTCTCTCCGCGCCTGCCTTCTGGGTCCAACTGTTGGGCAATGGCGTCTAGTTCGATCGCGTGGCCAGGGGCCGCTGTAGCGTGAAGCCCCCTCTGAGAGATCCAGGGGGGCCGTCTGGGCCTGACAGCGGCGAAAGCCGTGTTGCTGTCGGAAGTTTCGCGCTCTGTCTCGTGGGGTTTGGATATCCGCATCCGCGGTGCGCGTATCGGAGACGAGAGAGTGGGCGGATCGAGCCTTCAGTTGGGTGCCTTCAAGCATGCGCCCGACGCGCGGGAGGCGATTGATGGCCTCGCTCCTTGGTCGAGGGGGTTCTTGAGTTCCGCGGCTGAATGGGCTGTCGAATTATCATCATGGGCGACCGCGGGCCGCGCCTGCGTCGTCGCTTTGGCCGGGCGCAAGTGAGGGGCTTGATGTCTCCAGGAGTAAAGGAGCTGCTTTGGAGGTGCAAATTCGCGCGGCACAGTTCCGGAAAGTAGGCCCATCCAACGAGGCGGCGGCTGCGTTTGTCGTGGATGTCCCGCCTCGCGCGCCCGATGCCCCGAGGGCGCCCTGCGATCAGGGCCAGGTTGAGACAGATGTCAGTGAGTGGGTCGTCAAATTCATCCTTGTCTGTTCTTTGCTTCGCCGAACAGCGGCTTCGGGTGGCGATGTGCGCGCGCGACTTGCAGGGCGAGGGTTGTGCTGGCGTCGCTGATAGTGGCGCGCGGGGCTGCCCTGGAGATGGCGGGGCGGGTCCTGGGAGGTCTCCGTGGAGCCAGACCGCGGTGAGCTTATGCTTCGCCAGCGCCCATCTCTCAGAGAAGTCTTTGGTCCGCGGCGAGCCCACCTGCCCCGTTTCGCAAGCATCTGGTGGGAACGTGCAGGAGGGGCTCAGGAGCGACGCCCGTCCGTTGCATGTCCATGGGCGAGTCTGCGAACAGGCGCAGGATTCTCTTGGGGAGACCGCCTGCTCTGGCTGCGGGTCTTGCCCCGATCAAGCGAGTGGGGTCGTCATCTGTCGGGGTGGATTGCTCGGCTGGCACCGGCTCAGGGAGCTCCTGGTGGTGCTCTGCTTTGAAGTCCCCCCAGGTTGGCGCTGCCTCTTCTTCGCGCCCCCAGGCGGCGCGGTATTTGCCGAGGTTGGGTGCCCAGGTGTCGGTCGTGAGCTTGGTCGTTGCGTTGGTGTCCGCGAGGATCGTGCTTGGCTCCGTCTGCGCCGGGGCGTCGTCGCTGTCGCTGTAGCTGTCAGCGGCAGGGTCGCTGGGCGCATCGTACGCGCTTCCGCGGTGTGAGGTTGTGGGCGGGCCCCCTCGCGGTGGTGGGCTTTTCCCCTCGGCCGTGCGAGCTCGCCGCTCTGTTGCGTTGCCATTGCTTCTTCGGCCTGGACTTGTCTAGCTGGCTGGCGGCGCGAGTGTCCCACCTAGTATGGGGGCGCGCCCGCGCCGGCCTCCTCGCCCTGCTTTGGTGGTCGATTTGGAATTTGGACGCCAGACCATTGTAGATCGGGCTAATGGCTTGATCTGGGGCGGTGGCGGCTGGGTCGCCCGCCGTCTAGCGGCGGCGGCGACGTGTCATCGCGAGCTGGCGCCTGCGGAGATGGCCCGCGATATTCTTCGTCAGCGCGAGAGTGGCGCAGACGCGTCAGCCGCTGTCTATGAGCCCCGTCGGTGTTGATAGGTTTCGTGGAGATGCCCTCGTCGGCGAGGTCAGGCAAGGGGTCCGCCAGGAAGGGTTCGCCCTGGCGAGATGGCCATGCGATTTCTGCGCGGCAGCCGTCCGCGCGCAGCGCTGGGACAGCGCATTGTCGAGCCTGCTCCTCCTGGATCTCTCGGCAGCTCCTCTCCGCGCCCCCTCGGCAGATCCTCCCCGCGCCTCGCGCGCGGCCAGCTGCGGCGAGCTTCTGCTCGCGCGCCGCCGCGGGGAAGGAGTCGCGCGGCCTCCTTGCGCGCGGGGCGGCCTCGCCGAGACGCGTCGCGTCCATTCGTGCGAGGGGCTGGCGGGCCCTCGGATAGATGGGCGCCCCGGCGTTGGAGTCGTGAGCGACGGCTCTGTGCTCGACTGCGCTGGTGGGAACGTGACTAGCTTCGCAGAGCAGCATGGTGATGAGCCCCTCTTCTTCTGGGTGCCATGGGTTCCTCGCCGCCGCGGTAAGCGGCTGCGTGCGAGAGGGCGGGCGCTGACGCGGGCGCGGCCTGGTGGTTTCTGTCCAGCGGCCTCCCGCCGTGGCCCTGGGCGTAGAGTGCAGCCGCAGTGGCGGATGCGTTCAGGCTGCTCGATTGTCGTTGCGTGGGAGATGTCCCCGTGCTCGCGGGCCTGTTCCCTCGGCTTCGCCTAACCAGGGGAAGATGCTGCAACCTGGCGTGGCGGCGTCTTTCCTGGTCTACATGGTGGCAGTGGTCGGCTGCTGAACGAGATTTTCAGTCGAGCCGGTGATGTGCGTCGTTTGACCTGGCTCGCGCAAACCGCCTCTTCGGCCTGTCCAGAAGGGTCGCTGGCCGTCGTCCAGCGCGCCGCCACGGCGCCTCGCGCCCACGCTCTTCCGTTAATTTCATGTGAACGTGTGCAAAGCGCGGCGCGTCCTTCCAGCAACCCTGGTATAGGTCGCATGAGGCGGTGAGGTTGTCGATCCATGACAGCTTGGTAACGTCAATGCCATCCTGGCGGGGGCGCCCTGGCGTGTGGGCATTGGGGTCGGGCGCGCGTCGTCGCCGACGCCCCGGGGCGCGTCGTCAGGCGCGCCCTCCACCGCCCCTCGTGCGGGGCTCATCCGAGCTGATTGCGGTTTTCGGTGGGGCGGTCGGCCGGATTTCGGGTCGGCGCGGCGACGCCCTTTGCGCCTTGCTGACAGGGATGGTGCCTCTGCGGTGAACGGGGATTTTGCTGCGGCTGCGGCTCGGTCATGAGTTCGGCCTGGCTGAGGCCCCCTCCATTTTGGTCTATTGATGGAGCGCGTAGCGTCGAGCGTGGCAGTCGAAAGCGTGACTTCCTCAGTCCGCCGTTGAAGCACGGGTTTGCCGAGGTCGGGGTTGGGGGCGCTGGGTCTGTCGAGCGTTGTGGCCCATGTTTCCCCGACGGAGCAGGGGTGGGCCACGGCGCCCACTATTCCACGGCCGAGGCGCCGCTCGACGGCGCAGACACCGGTAGCCGGTGGCGTAGCAGAGGCCTTGGGGCATGAAGTCCATAGTGATGAGCTCAGTTTTCCAGTGCGTATGGATGAAGTCGTTGGCCCAGAAACCAGCGTGAAACACGGCGGTCGTAACCTGGCAGGCGGTGGAGGTCGTTTAGTCCAGACCAGGACGTAAACAGGTCTTCATAATGGTCTTGCGGCCTCTTGTTGGGTCTTCATGATGGTCATGATGGTCTTCCTGATGGTCATGATGGGTTTTGAAGTGGCCTTCCTTGTCCCAGTTGCGAGCGGGTCCGGGCGGGCGTGGGCCGCCTGCGCCGAAGGCGCGGGCGGGCGCCCAGTTGCGCCGACTCCTGCTGCTGGGCGACCATTGCGCGATGCAGAGCAGGGCGCCGTTGCAGCGCGTGCCCATAGTGGCCGCCGAAGCGCTGGTCAGCCTGTCGCGCGCTTGGTCTGCTGGCCGCAGGCCCCTGTCCTCCGCGCCATGGCCCGCTATCTCGCGTGTCCAGCAGAGGCGCGGGGACATTCCTTCGACGGCCCCACCCTTTCCTGCGGGGCCAATAAGGAACTCTTGAAACGCACTGATAGCGTCTACAGGCAGGGAACGATAGTCTGGTCACCTCGCGGGATTTGGTTCTCAGCCGTTGTGGTCCTGCTGTCGCGGTAAGGTCCGAGGTGTCATCTGCGGGAGTTCCCCCCCAGTCAAGGGCCGTGGCAATGGCAAGGGCGCAGACAATGCAGGATGAGAAATGTTGGCCGCGACTGCGTGAGGTCCCTCATCGTGGGTGGGGCGCAACAGCCATGCGTCGTCTTCGGTGGAGTCGTTGTAAAAGGAGTCCAGTCCCAGGGACTCTTCGCCTGGTGGCGTTTGTGATGCTTGTGTGTCCGCCGCCGCCTCCTCGCTGGCGGGAGGTAGTGGGGGTGCTAGCGTGCTGCAGGATGCAGGGTGGCGTTGGTGGTATCTTGGCCTGATTGGACCCCGCATAGTCGGCAGCGGTATTTGCTCTCACCCATGGCTGGTGCATCGATTCGAGAGTGCAGGGGTATCGACCCCGCAGATAAGGATTGGATTCCTGCATTGCGTCGGCCAGGGGTGTCCGAAAAGTGGAATGACCCGAAAAGCCAGAAAAACCATAAAGGCCAGAAAAGCAAGAAAAAACACAAAAACCAGAAAAGCCAGAAAAGCCCGAAATGCTCGAGTTGCGAGGATGTCTCGAGCGGCGGCGCCAGATCTGCGAGGATGTCTCGAACGGCGGGCTTTTCTGGCTCTTCGGGCTTGTCGATGTCGAGCTTGTCGGGCTACGCCGGCCAGAGTTGCGAGGATGTCTCGTTGTGCGGCGCCAGAATTGCGAGGATGTCTCGAGCAGTGGGCTTTTCGAGCTTTTCGGGCTTGTCGAGCTTTTCGGGCTACGCCGGCCAGAGTTGCGAGGATGTTTCGAGGTGCGGCGCCAGAGTTGCGAGGATGTCTCGAGCGGTGGGCTTTTCGGGCTTTTCGGGCTTTTCGGGCTACGCTGGCCGGAGTTGCGAGGATGTTTCGAGCGGTGGGCTTTTCTGGCCTTTCGGGCCTTTCGGGCTTTTCTGTTATTTCTGGCTGTTCGGGCTACGCTGGCCAGAATAGCGAGGATGTTTCGAGCGGTGGGCTTTTTAGTCTTTCGGGCTTTCCGGGGTTTTCGGGTTTTTCGGGTCGCGCCGGCCAGAGTTGCGAGGATGTTCCGAGCGGTGGGCTTTTCTGGCTTTTCGTTTTTTTTTTGCTTTTCTGGTTTGTCAAGCTTTTCGGGCTTTTCGGGTATACTGGCTAGAGTTGCGAGGATATCTCGAGCGGTGGGGATTTTCGGGCTTTTCGAGCTTTTCGGTTTTTTCTGGCCTTTCGGGCCTTTCGGATTTTTTTGGTTTTTCTGGCTTTTCGGGTCAACTGGATTAGCTTGAAGAAAGCCAGAAAATCCTGAAAAGCCCGAGTTGCGAGGATCTCTCTAGCGACGGCGCACGAGTTGCAAGGGTGTTTCCAGCGGCAGGTTTTTCTTGCCTCTTTGGCTTTTCGGGTCTTTCGGGTTAACCGGGCGCTCTTTCGGGTTATTCGGGCTACTCGAGCCCTCGTCGTCGTCGTCGTCGTCGTCGTTGTCCGCTGGCGGCCCCCGAAAGTGCATGCAGCCTATTCAACCCCGAGCCCCTCCCATCCGTTCCCCCACGAGCGGACAAGTTTGGATTGGACGCGGGAGCCCTTGCTAGGAAAGGTCATCACATTTATGTCCCGACGCTTCCCTTCTCCCACTTGCAATTTTGGTAGGGATCAGCACTCCGGCGAGTGCTGATCCTTACCAAAACGGGGTGTTGTGTGAGTGCCTTGGCCTCTGTGGGCCTACAGCGAGTGGACAATTCTGGATTGGAAGCGGGCGCCCCTGCTTGGAAAGGTCATCACATTGTTGTTCCGACGCTTCTCTCCTCCCCCTTGCCGTTCTGATAGGGATCAGCACTTCGGCGAGTGCTCCGCCCGACCCGACCGTTCGTCAGGGTTCGCCCGCCCGACCCGATCGCCCGTTAGAGTTACACGTGTGTGTTATTTCGAGCGCTCGTCTTGCTTATGTCCCGCCCGCTCGACCAGAGTCGCCCATTAGGATCCACCCGTCCGACCCGACTCGCCCATTACAGTTACGCGTGCGTGTTACTTCGAGCACGCGTCATACTTGAATGTCTGGCTTGCCCGGTTCGCCCGTCCGTTAGGGTCCGCATCCGATCCAACCCGCCCGTCAGGATGATACGCTCGTGTTTCTCGAGCATGCATCATGCTTTATGTCCCGCCCGCGTCGGCTCGCCCGACCCGACCCGCCCGTCAGTGTTACGCGTACGTCTTTTTAAACATGTGTCATACTTTAATGTCCCGCTCGCCCGACCCGACCTTCCCAGTAGGGTTTGCTCGCCCGAACCGATTCGCCCGTTAGCGTTACGCGTGCCCCTCCCATCCGTTCCCCCACGAGCGGACAAGTTTGGATTGGACGCGGGAGCCCCTGCTAGGAACGGTCATCGCATTTATGTCCCGACGCTTCTCCCACTTGCAATTTTGGTAGGGATCAGCACTCCGGCGAGTGCTGATCCCTACCAAAACGGGGTGTTGTGTGAGTGCCTTGGCCTCTGTGGGCCTACAGCGAGTGGACAATTCTGGATTGGAAGCGGGCGCCCCTGCTTGGAAAGGTCATCACATTGTTGTTCCGACGCTTCTCTCCTCCCCCTTGCCGTTCTGATAGGGATCAGCACTCCGGCGAGTGCTCCGCCCGACCCGACCGTTCGTCAGGGTTCGCCCGCCCGACCCGATCGCCCGTTAGAGTTACACGTGTGTGTTATTTCGAGCACTCGTCTTGCTTATGTCCCGCCCGCTCGACCAGAGTCGCCCATTAGGATCCACCCGTCCGACCCGACTCGCCCATTACAGTTACGCGTGCGTGTTACTTCGAGCGCGCGTCGTACTTGAATGTCTGGCCCGCCCGGGTCGCCCGTCCGTTAGGGTCCGCATCCGATCCAACCCGCCCGTCAGGATTATACGTTCGTGTTTCTCGAGCCATGCATCATACTTTAATGTCCCGCCCGCGTCGGCTCGCCCGACCCGACCCGCCCGTCAGTGTTACGCGTACGTCTTTTTAAACATGTGTCATACTTTAATGTCCCGCTCGCCCGACCCGACCTTCCCAGTAGGGTTTGCTCGCCCGAACCGATTCGCCCGTTAGCGTTACGCGTGCCCCTCCCATCCGTTCCCCCACGAGTGGACAAGTTTGGATTGGACGCGGGAGCCCCTGCTAGGAACGGTCATCGCATTTATGTCCCGACGCTTCTCCCACTTGCAATTTTGGTAGGGATCAGCACTTTGGCGAGTGCTGATCCCTACCAAAACGGGGTGTTGTGTGAGTGCCTTGGCCTCTGTGGGCCTACAACGAGTGGACAATTCTGGATTGGAAGCGGGCGCCCCTGCTTGGAAAGGTCATCACATTGTTGTTCCGACGCTTCTCTCCTCCCCTTTGCCGTTCTGATAGGGATCAGCACTTCGGCGAGTGCTCCGCCCGACCCGACCGTTCGTCAGGGTTCGCCCGCCCGACCCGATCGCCCGTTAGAGTTACACGTGTGTGTTATTTCGAGCGCTCGTCTTGCTTATGTCCCGCCCGCTCGACCAGAGTCGCCCATTAGGATCCACCCGTCCGACCCGACTCGCCCATTACAGTTACGCGTGCGTGTTACTTCGAGCACGCGTCATACTTGAATGTCTGGCCCGCCCGGCTCGCCCGTCCGTTAGGGTCCGCATCCGATCCAACCCGCTTGTCAGGATGATACGCTCGTGTTTCTCGAGCATGCATCATACTTTAATGTCCCGCCCGCGTCGGCTCGCCCGACCCGACCCGCCCGTCAGTGTTACGCGTGCGTCTTTTTTAACATGCGTCATACTTTAATGTCCCGCCCGCCCGACCCGACCTTCCCGAACCGATTCGCCCGTTAGCGTTACGCGTGTGTATTATTTCGAGCACGCTGATCCGCCAGACCGGCCCGACCCGCCCGTGAGGGTCCTCTCGCCCGACCCCCGACCCGACCAGCCCGTCAGGGTTACGCGTGCGTGTTTTGTTGAACATGCGTTGCGTGACAATTGAAATTTTCGCCCGCCCGACCCGACCCGCCCGATTAGGTCCGCCCGCCCGACCCATTCCGCCCGTTAAGGTTACGCGTGCGTGTTACTTCGAACACGCGTCATATTTTAATGTTCCGACCGCCCGACCCGCTCGCCCGTAAAGGTTGGCATCCCGTCCGATGCGCCCGTCAAGGTTACGCGTGCGTGTTTTCTAAACATGCGCCATACTTTAACGTCCCGCCCGCCCGACCCGACCCGCCCGTTAGGGTCCGCCCGCCCGTTCCGATCCGCCCGTTAAGGTTACGCGTGCTTATTACTTCGAACACGCGTCATACTTTAATGTTCCGACCGCCCGACCCGCTCGCCCGTAAACGTTGGCATCCCGTCCGATTCGCCCGTCAAGGTTACGCGTGCGTGTTTTTCAACATGCGTTATTTTTTAATGTCCCGCCCGCCCGACCCGACCCGCCCGTTAGTCTCCGCTCGTCCGAACCGATTCGCCCATTAGCGTTGCGCGTGCTTATTACTTCGAGCACGCGTCATACTTTTAATGATCCGCCCGCCGTTAAGGTCCGCATCCGATCCGACTCGCCCGTCAGGGTTACGTATGCGTGTTATTTTTTGAGCATGCGTCATACTTCAATGTTCCCCACGCCCGACCCGGCCCGCTCATGCGTCTCCGCCCGCCCGACCCGATCCGCCCGTCAAGGTTACGCGTGCGTGTTTAATTCGAGCTCGCGTCATACTTTAGTGTCTCGCCTGTCCTGCACGCTCGCCCGTTAAGGTCCGCATCCTATCCTACCTGCCCGTCAGGGTTGCGCGTGCGTGTTCTTTTTCGATCATGCGTCATACTTTACTGTTCCG